GCCTATGCAGTTCGGGGATTGGGAAAACAGCAGTACCTTGTTTGAGTTGATTTTAACGGAGCCGTGTGGTGGCAAAGGCAGGACCATCAGCTGAGGCATCTTGGGACTGAAACTGGAAGACTGCTCTGAGCAGTTCTGCTTGGTTCATGGATAAAGCAGAGAGGAATGTCCAGGTTGGGATGTGACCTGAGCTCTTGTCCCAGTGCAGATGGACATAAGATAAGAACTAGGTCATTTATAATTTGCAAGGATTTCCAAGGAAATAGGGGGATATTTCTTTGAAGTCGTACCCAGAAAGCTCCAGAACTGACACATTTTCCTGGCCAGAGAATGTTATGTTTTATGTGTCTAGACATCCCCCTAAAGTCTTAGATGAGACTGTTTCAGAGGTGGCTGAATCTAGAGTGCGTGATGCTGGGAATAAGGGTGTGTTGTATGATTACTAAATCAGTACACTGATTTGTTTGGCACTGCCCTAACCTCAGTAGCCCAGACAAGTATAAAAGGAGCAGAAAGAAGCTACTAAAGGCCACTTGTCGCTTGCCATGAACTGTTCTCTGTGATGCCATCCTGCCTTGGAGCCAGCCAACAATAGACTGAAACCTCTATGAACTGTAAGCTAAATAAATCTTTCCCCCTTTCATTTGGGGCATTGAATATTTTGCCTCAGCAATGACATAAAAGTAACTAAGAGAGCCAGAGGAAGGTCCACTGGAACATTACACCGAGGTTACTTGTAATGTGAGTGGCACACCTCCAAACAAGGGCTTAGGTGGTTTTTCTGTTTTTGTTTTTGTTTTTTTGTACCGGGATTGAACTCGGGTCCTTGCGCTTGCAAGGCAGGTGGCAGAACCACTGAGCTAAATCCCTGGCTCCAAGGGCTTAGGCTTTAAGTGGGAATGAAATGAATGAAAATAGCGGTTTGCTTGGAGAAGCAGCTGGGAGTGAGAGGAGCTGGCTCTTCACTCATATTCTAGGAGCTTTGAGATTCATCCACTCAGGAAGATGGCTTCATATACAGATTTTGTAACGTCTTCAAAGGAGGATTTACCAAATTTTACTCATGAAATTTTCCATTTTGGCTGATTCGTTCTTCCACATCCTGTAGAACTGCGTATTCTCTGGTATGTCCTGGAGAGCAGTGGCAATAAGAACATCCTTGAGTGCTAGGGGTGGGATCGAATCCTATTAGAAACAGCAGCCACCTTCTGTTCAATGTGGTCATGGTCCCAGCCAGACACTGAGTGGGGAGCTTTCCACGCAGTACACACCTTCCTGAGATCCTACTGGACAGGCCTGACCAGACTCGCTTCACGGATGAAGAGACCCAGTCTCCCAGGGCTGGGGACTCCCCAGGTGACCAGCTGGTAAGTGACAGGGCTGGGTGAGCATCCCCCTGTGGACACATCTGGAGCCTGTCCCTGACTCACTGCTCCAGCCTACTGACCAACTTTTGATTAACAAACCATTTCTAAGCACACCAGTGTCTCTCATAACCAAAAGAAGGAACCTTCAGAGAGCTCTAAGAATAGGGCCAGATAAAATAAAGTAGTCCACCAAGTTAAGAGCTAGTTCAAGCAGCTAGAAATGCAAAGAAAAGCAAGAAGGTTGAGAGGTTGGGATGAAAATAGATAAGGACTCTTCCTTCCAGGAAGAAGACTCCTATCCAGAATGTGCCAAGCTAACAGCTTTTACAACTTCTCTTGGAACTCTGGACTCAATAAAACATTAGAAATATGAGAATCCATTTCTTTTAAAAACTCTAAATTCATCTCCTTTAACATGTTATTAGTTTGGGGGTGCTGGAGTCTCCTTCTGGAGGTAGTTTCTAGGTTATTTCTGTCCTGAACAAAAAACTGGTCAATACAAGTGCAAAAGGGAGTGAAGTTTTAGTTATTAAAGGCATGAAAAGAAATATGCTGAGCAGAGTGAGTCTGGGCCAGTTATAAGTAGGAAGAGAAGCACACTTTACAGGGTGAGAGATCACTGTAAAAGAAGTACAGGGGACAAGAGCTCAATGGCCACTATCTTTTGTATCTCCCATTCCTCAAGCTGACATAAGGTCTAGGCCATCCTATCAAAAACCTACTTGAGTTCTCACAAGAATGAAGACAGTACTCTTTAATTGGGGTACAGGTCTTTGGGAACTGTTCTGCACAAGTGTCCGGGAACTTCGTCATTGACAGGTCCTGCCTTCACCTTCACCTAGTACGTTGTCTCCTGGCTTTGAGTGCAGGCCTTTCAGCCTTCTACCACAGATCCTTTGGCCTCCTGATAAGGACTTGCACTGGACACTACAGGGAGCTCCAGCCCTTCAACTGGATCCTTCACATCTCCAGAGTGCAGACAATCCTTTTGCACTCTTCTATACCTGACTCTGCTGGTAGGCACTGTAAGCCAATCATGTAAACCTTTGTACTTGTATACCTTGCATTAAATGTTTTTCTAGTAAGCACTAATACAAGCACGTTGGATGGAGCCCAGAAATTCCTTCTCAAGTCGAACAGATCCTTTCTTCCTCTCAGTGATCTCCCACTTCCTAGCTGGTTCTCAGGTGATGCCCTCTATCTGAAACACGTGTGTTTCCTCTCACTCTCTGGGCACTGCCCACAAAACAGTCTCGTTAGGGTAAAAAATAACAGGAGGGATTCCTGACACGTTTACCCTGCAGCTTCTTTGAAGAAATCTTTTTCTTTGATTTGCTGCAGTTTGAATATGATGTTCCTAGACTTATGTAGAAGTCTTGGTTTCTATAATGCTAGGAGTTTTTTTTTTTAACTTCCTGGATCTATGATTTCACGACTACTACTAATTTTGGTAAATTCTTAAGCATTACCATTTCAAATGTGTCTTCTTTCTTCCATTCTTCTTTTGATATTCTATGTATGTGGAATTATACTGTTTGTACTCATCCCACAATTCTTGAACATTCTGATCTGTACTTTTCTCCTTTTGTTTTCCCTGTGTTTTTCAGTTTTGGAATTTTCACCTGAAATTTCTTCAAGCTTGCTCAGTATTTCCTCAGCCTTGTCCTAGGTGCTGTTTCTTGAAGACCACGTCTTCATGTCTATCCCCGATGACCTCCAAATAGGCTGATGTCATTACAGCCCATTCAACTATGAACTCATCCAAAGACTAGTCCACTGGATGAAGTCACCACCCTAAAGTTCTAATGACCTGTTTCTGTCTCTCCTCTGAAAACTGGTGCATTAGGCATCAAGCCCTCAATGCCTGAGTCTTTGGGGGAATGCCTCACATATAAACATAACATTTCAACCCTGTCCGGCAAAGTCTTGTATCCATTTCATAATGCAAAATGTGTTTAGTCCATCTCCATTGTTCCCTAAAATCTCACATCCAGCATTACACAAAGTCCAAGTTCAACGTCTCTTCTGAGAATCAAGGCTTTTGCTTCCCACACAGAAAAAGTTTACCAAAACCAAAACAAACACCCAAGTTACATAGGCCCATGATGCAATGGTACAGAGGGCCCCACCCTTCTCGGTCCCTCCTCCAGTGACCTATCTCTTCTGACCAGACTCCACCTCTGATTAGCAAGTCAACTGCAAGCCCAATAATCCAATCACCTTCCCAAAGCCCTGCCTCTGAGTGCATGAAGCTCTTGGAAGGCATCCAGATATAAACCATGACATCCAAGGTGGCACTATTGGGAGACAGAGCCCTGTGGGACATCCTCAGATCATTGGAAGCATGCCCCCGAATGGGACTGTGGGACCCCAGCCCACTGTGTCTCTCATTATTCTTCCAGGCTTGCAATGTCAATGATTTGCTCTGCCACCCACAGCGGTACAACGTGTCCCCGTCCCGAGAGGCACAAAGATACGGAGCTGGCTGATATTGCACTGCAACCTGCAGAAGCATGAGCTAAATAAACCTGCCTTCTTTACAACTCAATTACCTTGGGGATTTCAGTGTAGGAACATGAAGATGGTTAGTACAGCCAGCAAAGGCCACAAGAAAATATCATCCTCAGCCTTAAGAAACCACCTCAGGAACAGACAGCATGTAAGTGAAGGACAATGGCTGTTTAACCGAATCCTCTAGAAGCCCTTTCCAGAGACATCCACAAGTGCTTCGGTTTTATAACTTAGCCTCTGGTGAAATCGAGCTTATGAGCAAATCCTTTGTCACTTGTTTAAAAGCATCATGACCATGAAGGAAGCCTGAATCCAGACATGGGAACATATAAAGTATTAGAGGTCCCGTGAACTGAAAGGCACCTGAGCAAAGACTCCTAAGCCCTCACTGCACTGCCCATTTAGAAAGGAAGGCTGACTGTCAAAGAGGGCAAAGGGTGCAGGAGTAGATGGAAGAGACCAATCAGGAAGGAGATGCGGGGGGGGGAGCTGAGAACTGAGGAATACCAACTAAGCTAGGCCACCCTGCCTGGGCAGTACATCCCGCAACAGCCCATTGGACCCGGGCAGTCTTGGTCCTTCCCAAGCTAACACTAACTGTGGGCCTGGCCTGAGTAAATCAGAGAGGGCAGCCCCAGGCCTCCCCTGACCTTAGGAATGGGAGGGATGATGGGACCCTGGCTTCTCAAGTCACCCAGGGCTGGCCCCAGGACACAATGCACATGTCCCAGCAAAAGGACACTTTCCTGGGAATTTGAAGCAAGGCTTTACACACCTGAAAAAAGAGAAAACCTGTGACTCTGCCCCCCCACGCTTGCCCAGGACCCCTCCCCCAATGGAACTGACCCACCCTTGTGACATCACTTCACAAACACAGACGGTTGGCCCCCTACCAAGGCCCTAGAATCTTGGGGTCAGTCCTGGCTGGACACGTCCACTGGGACTGAAGACAGTTTTGACTCACTAGGATAGTGCCAACCATCTTGCGTACAAAGGCTCCCGATGCTCCTGAAGTCTTATAGGCAGTGCCATTAACAAAGGCGACACTGAGACAATGCCAGACCCAGCTGTGGTGAGGAGCAAGTGAGGGAGGCCCCATCCAACTTTCTACCTGATCTCAATATGGACTTCAGGGAGGTTTCGGGAAGGCATGGTGATCAAGCCGTGCACCAAGATCCAGGCTCCCAGGAGGCACGGGAGCCAGAGGACCAAAACCAACACGAGGCCAACAAGGAAGGCTGCAAGGACCTTGCTGGACTCCCATTTCCCAGAAAGCTCTGGAGCATAGTGGAAAGCGATGCATTCCAGTCCTTGTGCTGGAATGAAGACGGAGATGCTGTGGTCGTCGAAGTAGACCTTTTCCAGGAGGAGATTCTTGGCCAGAGAGGCCCAGGGAAGATTTTTGAAGCAGACAGCTTGAAGAGTTTCATTCACCAACTTCATCTTTATAGCTTCAGACGGATCCGCCTGCATGACTCTGAGGCTCAGTCCTGTGGGAAGAGGACGATGATGGTAAAGTAGAAAGTATCTCTGTTCTGTATTCTCTGCTGCTCACCCTCTTCATAGGCTCCCTAGATGAATCACCAGTGTTCTGCAGGGCTGAATTTCCAAGGGTTACTTTTTAATGTTAGATGTTATGTACTGACACTTGAGAGATGAGACTGAAAGGATGAGTTTTGCTACTAAACCAAAGCCCCTATGGAGGGCCCCTGTAGGCAAGAATAAAGACCGAGAGGGCAGTCGATGTCATATACACAGACTACCCTGACATTAGAGCCTTGGACCACGAATAACGTGTTCCGTGAATGTTCCACAAGATGAGCAAGACTTGCTAATGGATTTTAAGCTGACATATGAGCAATGCTCTGAAATATGAGTAGTGTGTGATGCCAAATGTTGTGAGCGACCATCTCCCAACAGCAAGAGGTTACGGAGGAGATCTCCTCTGCAGAGGAGGAGGAGAAAAGGCAGAGGAATCCCTCGCTCCAGATGAGATTAGGGAGATGTGTCAAATGTGGGAAACACTGCCAGGTTCTGCAGAAAAGCACCACGCAAATAAGGCCATGGCAGTGTAGTGTGAGCAATGAATCTGTTTAATGGAAACGCAATGTTGGGGGCCGGGGATCTGGCTCAGTGACACCGCGCCTGCCCGCCTTGCAAGTGTGAGGTCCTGAGTTCAGTTCCTAGTACCAGATAACAAATGCACTCACATTTCTATGAAACCCTCAAAAGGAGGCAAAAGCAAGTGTCATTAGGTAGGTTCCTTGTTAAAGTTACACAAAAAGGGTTCCCTTGAGCCAATAGATAGCAGGGATTCCATTAGTGGTAGTGAGTCACCCTGTAGAAAAGCCCTCCTCTCCTGTCTCCCTTATTCCATCCATGAAGGTTTGCATAGCTAAGTGTAGGTTAATTGGTTTTCCTTTATATTTTTATTACATTATAATATTGTAATGATTTTGCATGAATATTTTTGTGTTGTGGAACGAATCATCTGAGTTTCTGTTATTTCTTATGGGGAAATTCACTTTAGGATACAAGTGTTTTGGATTACAAGCATGTTTCTGGAGCAAGGTTTTACTATATCTTTTTGTTTTGTTTTGTTTTGTTTTTTGAGACAGGGTCTCACTATGTAGATGACCTGGAACTCACTATGTAACCCAGGCTGGTTTTGAACTCACAGCAATCCTCCTGCCTCAGCCTCCCGAGTGCTGGGATTACAGGTGTGCACCACCATGCCCGGCAAGGTTTTACTGTATCTTTAGGAAGTCATCTTGTAGCGTACAGTGACCCCTGCCAGCAACTCTCTGCTGCTAAACAAGAACATTTATCGTTCTTGGGAGGGGTACACATTTTATCCAAGCATGGCTAAAATACCTTTTTGGTTTCAGATCTACTACAACGTCAATTTTCAGAGAGATAAGCCAGGACTTCTTGAACATATTTGGAGAAAAGGAGACTTGAGAAATCCTGCTATGCGAGGGACCTGTACACCAATTCTCCTCAGAAATCCTGCCTGGCAAGGGATAGATGAACCAAATCCAAAGAAAAAGAAGTGGGTAGCTACCAGACACTCCCCACGATTCCCCAGGGCAGACAGTAGGGAGTCCCAGGGGGAAGCCCCCCAAGATGAGGGCCCCAGACGGCCCCCGCCCATTGTGTTCTCTGGTATATGGGCTTTGAAAAGTATTGCTGGAAACACCTTAGATAACCAGGTTCCTCAGGTGCCAAGGGGCCCAAGTAAGGAGGGTGCTACTGGGAATGGCACGGCTGTGCCTTCAGCCACTGCTACAGAACAAGGCGCCTGCGAAGAGCCTAGCAGCTCCTCAGCGTACCGTGATCACTGTGCTCTGATGTCTTTGTACAACGCCTGCTATTCCATTGTGCTGAGTGCCCAGACGGCCAAGAGCCCCGATGAGCTTCCCGATGAGGAGGAGGAGGAGGAGGACTTCAAGTCTGTACTGTGTGAACACCTGACAGACAACCCGCAACCATGAGTTCACAGGCTAGGGCACCATGAGTTAGCACTTTCTAATTGTGAACTCATTTCCGGTTTTAATAAAGACAAGCGGAGCTCCAGAGGGGAAATAAATGATCAAAATGAGAACTGCACTTGTGTTCTTTCTGACCTTCCAACTAGTCACGTGCCACAGCTTAACCTCTTTGGCTCCCATTTTCCTCTGCCATTCGCAGCAGCAGCAGCTTTCCCCACTGAGCAAAGGCTTTTGCTAGGCAGTTGTTTTTGTTTTTTTGGTATCAGATGGGGACTGAACTCAGACCTTGCAGCTCGGTGGTTTTGAGGACGAGGCCGAGATCATGTCCTCTTGGCTGCTGTTCAGGGGACAGATAAGCCAAGCTCCTGACCTGGGGGTACCACATCACACTATTCAGCTGTCTTTGTGTGTGTGCCTGTGCTTGTGTGTGTGTGGTATGCGGACCGAACCAAGGGCCTTCA